CAGGTGATTCACCCTGATGTATGTACAAGCAACATCGTACCCATAGTCTTTATCAAGGAATAGTCAGATGAAATATGTTTTTACTTTTCTGCACAATAAAACAATGTGTTGCAAATGAATTAAATGTGTCTTAATCTGTTTGCATTAACACATCTACTATTTTAATTATTCAGTAGCCTCTCCTTTGTATATTATTCATCAGCAGTGGAGTGTTGTTTGATAAGCAATGGAACTGGATTATGGCTCATTTTTAAGTACATTAACATAACATCTGTATTTATTTTTAATGGGATTTTCAGCTTTATTGGACGCAAATAAACAGTTTGGTGTAATTTAAAGTAAAAACACAGGGTTTGGATGTGAAAGTGGTTCGGCAGGGGAAGGAGAAGAACCCCCTGTTAGTACTCTGCGCATGCTCAGACTGCGCTCCCGTCTTATTAAATTTTAATGGAAAATGGCTGCGTTTCTTATCCAAACCTCTGGAGCTGGCCAATAAAAAATAAAACGTTTGCAAACTGGCGCATCTCGTTTGGGTTCACAACGAAACAATCCGATGTGGANGTCTTTGTGTTAGATTGGTTTTTTCTTTTGTATTACTCGTTTTCAAGGCTGTTTGATGCATATGATGAGAGGGAGGCTAAAGGGATGCTGGCAGGATGCTGCATCCTGCCAGCATCCCTTTAGCCTCCCTCTCATCATATGCATCAAACAGCCTTGAAAACGAGTAATACAAAAGAAAAAACCAATCTAACACAAAGACTGTAAAAAAAAACTCAAACTCAAGAATGTAAAACAGGCGTCATGTCAGACATAAACTTAACAAAAATCCATCATTAAAATATCCAACGTGGCTCCCTAAGAACTATAATTAAAAGAGAACTGCTGCCAAAGTTGAATAACAGATTATATAAATACGATAAATTGCAAGAAACTAAGTTTACATTATCAACGTGTAGCAATTTACAATGCATTTAAGAAACTGGCTTTGTGACACCTTTAAAATGCAATTTTACACAATAAGTATTTTTCCTCATTCAAACAATCATACTACCCACTGGGATACATTCAAAAAGTTGAGATAAATGTACAGGACTACTAAAAGTATTTATTTTTCTATTTCATGTGTACCACCTAGTGGCCTGATATTACTTGTATTGAAGCAAATCACCTTTTTAAATAACCTCCAATTAACCGTCTACATACTGCTCTATAATCCAGTACCACATACAAACTGTGCCACAAGACATTATAGCTGTCAGTGATTAAACACTTAAACTCTATTGTTTTTACTTTTGGACAGTTTTGCGGTCCTTGCAGTATTTCCATGTTATTATATTTTTACTCCACTACAATTTGGAGGCAAATATTGTAATTTTTACTTCAGTACAATAATTTGACCGTTGAAGGTATGTTTTCAGATTATAATAATATTTTTAAATACTTTGTTATATCAATCTTGGACCTAAGGAACAAATTGAGGTTTGTGTGTTAGTTAATGTAAAGAAATGTATGTGCGTTCATGTGCAGATGTATATATAGTTTGTTAATTGGATAATTCATATCCTGCAAGACTCCTAAAGACGTCATGAGATGATGACCTTTCTATATCTGGAACATGGCAAAGTTTAGGAGAACTGACAATGTGTGTGCGTTAAACATGGTTAGTTAGGGAACATGTTCGTGTGTCATATAGAAAACGTATATTTGCCCTGTGTTTCTTGTATTCGGGGGGCATTTCCACGATTGACTGCTGTGGCAGGTGATGTACTCCAAGATTATTATTGTTGTTGTGCAACTTGAATAATAATTAATCTCAACCGTGTCTGTGTTTTATTGATCTCTCTCTGTGTTAACATTTAAGGTTGGTGAGCCATAAATTGCCCTAACATATGCTTGAAAGATTAAACCTTTTAATTTGTGTAGCTTGTAACCCCTAACAAAAAATAAGTGTATCAAATTATAAAAATACTTATGCATCAATAATAACGATCAACAATATTACATGTATAATAACAGATAAGACAGGGGTCCTTTTTCTTTATAATGAAGTTTTAATTGTATTACTTTAAGTACATTTAGCTGGTAATTCTGTATTTTAGGTTTGGTTATATTGAGTGCAGTATTTATATAAATAAATGTTTACTTTCACTTAGAGAAAATGAATACTTTTTCCATGGCTAATCTCACAAAATAATTTGACAAAAGAAATCAGTCTGCATTTTGGATCAATGTTAAAGCCTGTTATTCATTGAAAACATTTATTACATTTTAATGATGCAAACAACAGCAAGTCCCACCCTTGTTGAAACAGCTCATCACTTAGTCATGAGGGAATGAAAGAGACAATAAGGGACAGGGACAGATCAGCTCTCATTGTACATTTTGGCATCTTTTCCCTCCTGTTGTACTCTGGAATAAGGGTCAATAAAAATCAAAAGAACAAGGCATGCATAATAGTTTCTGGTAATGCACATAGATCAAAAGGATACCACTGATAAAGTACAAAATCAGCGTACGATGTTCATGTACACTTCATATGGTCCCTTTCTTAGAGGTGTCTGAGGCCTATCTACCTGTTCCCGCTGTGGGACTGTGCCCTCCGTTATCTACTCTTGGTCACTAGATTCACCCTGTACAAAGGTCTAGGCCAGAAAATATATCTGTAGGATGGACTCCTTACATTGACGATTACTAGGTGTTACAACCATCTTTCCTCCCTTCACCGCTTACTGCATGTTATCAAGCTATTTGTCCCAACGTTTCATTTACTTAAATAGTTTTCGTCACATCCACTGATCATTGTGCTATCTACACGATTTCCTCAAACCTTGCAGGGTTATAGCCAGTATTACTTTCTATTAAAATTCTTCATCCACCCGCTTTACTACCGCTTTACTATGCTTCTCTTTAAAAAAGGGGAGCCCATCATAGCTTACTGGAATCCATTCAATTCTACTGTGCCCATAAGATAGAAGTCAGGAACAAAAGTATTATCTTCAAAGAAACCTAAAATACACTAAGATAAATGCACTGTTCCATTTTAATAAATGGGTGAAAACAGGCACACATTCATAGTGACGGCTGTATACGTGGCCACACTGTTTATTTACTGAAATCATGTCAAAACAAATTAAAGAAAGAAAAAGGACAAACCAAAATGTGTTGGTTAAATACAACTTTGGAATGAATGACTTTACTGTTACAAAGAAAAAAGAAAGTGTACGGCAATGGATACAACTATGTTGCTCTCTCGTAGCTCCAACTAAGATGAAGAGGCAGCTGGGATTGTTGATAAAGCGATGGAATCATGTTCTGATTTACAGTTATAATGAATCTATCATCACACTCAACAGATGGCAGGAAGGGAGGGAGGGAGAGAGGAAAGCAAACAAAAGACACAATATAGAAAAGATTCATCCATTTGAATTTGAAACCCCTTTGCTGTCGAACCAACGCTATGATACTCCCTTAGAAAAAGACAAAGATGGAAATGAGTGTGTGTGTGTGTGTGTGTGTGTGTGTGTGTGTGTGTGTGTGTGTGTGTGTGTGTGTGTGTGTGTGTGTGTGTGCACGTACAGGTATGAATTCTGCAAGTGCGGAACCAAATGTTCGACCAATAAAAGTCTATTGGGATCAAGTTGAACTGGTCTCTCTGAAGGTGGAGGCAGACTTGTTTAACCAAACATGGGGCTGAGAATGATGGTGCGGGTGGCATTGCTGGGCGTCTTGAGTGGTCGGGTTTAGCGCCCCCCTGATGATGGTGGTGGTGTCGGTGTTACGGGGCGTGGCTGCTTTAGTCGATGTACTGGGAGAGCCAGCGGAAGCCCTCGCCGTAGCCCTGCCTCTTCAACACACTGCACATGAACACTTCCAGTGGTCTTGTGTTCAGCTCCTTCATGGCAATTGTGCCCTTAAAGAAAAGCAGGAAAACAGTCCCATTAGATCCACTGTTTTTAGTTCATGACACCATATCTGACAAAAGTTTTTCCATCTTCCAATAGTCAAACCTATTCTCTTCTTTTTTCATTCTCGTCTCTGGTTAACAATTTCAGAAATTAATCTTTTCCCACTTTATTTACAACTTTTTTATTTGTCTGATCATAAGAATCATACTGCTGTGTCTACTCACCTTTCCTGTCGTCTGTCCGTACAATCCAAACATTTCTCTCAGCTTCTCCTCGCTGATGGCCTCTGGTCTGTCGATCTTGTTGCCCAGGATCAGAATAGGCACATTTCCAATAGTCTCATCTGTCATTAATGCCTGATGGGGTAGACCAGAGTATTACTATGCAGCTTTCATATTTATCATTACCGTAAATACAAAAATAAAAACTCTCCCCCCCAGATACTACTACAGTATTATCATTGACATCTACTTTCATTTCCTAGACTTTCCAGAAATACACTTTCCTAGGAACTGACAGAAGTGGAATGCGTTGTATTTGTAAGAAGGCAGACAGTGAAGGGTGCTGTGCGGGAGCTTTGCCTCCTTTACAATGGATTTGCTTTTATACAGCCAATTAACATTTGTAGTCTAAGTGGAAGCAGGTACTTACATCAAGTTCAGATTTAGATTCGCCCAATCTAGTTAAGTCTGCACAATCCACAAGGAACACAATGCCATTGATGGCCGGGAGGTAGTTTTTCCACACTCTTCGGGCTGTATGAACAAACAAAAACACAAACATTTTGAGTTTTACACTCCAGTCTGTTATACAATAGACACATTCTGCATTAACTGATTTTACAGTGATATATGGCACTGGCCTTCCTTTTTTTTTTTTAACAAGAGTATCACATACCGTGACCAATAAAGCCCAAAAACATTAGTATACGCAACACACACATACCTTGTGCGTGGCCTCCAAGATCGAAGGTTGTGAAAGTCATGCCAGCAATTGTCAGCTCTTCCGAGGCTGGAGGAAAAGAAAGGAAATTATAATGAACAAATCTGAAAAGTCAGGCAACCCAAAAGTCACTAATCATAAATGTCTACTCGTATCTTTCAACACATCACTGAGTGAGCATGTATGTGAGAGTAGCACCAACTCACTTGGATGTAAAGTTGGCACATGCTGTCCCAATCGGTCATCTTTGAGCATGTGCAGTAGTGTTGTTTTGCCAGCATTGTCCAGGCCAAGAAATACTAACTTGCCTGATTTCTTGTACAGTCCTGAAACAAAACCAGAGGCATTTTAGAAAAAAAAGCTGGGACAATAGAAATATTGCATTGTATACTATACTATGCTTAGTCTTTTGAATTCTCACACAAAGGAACATGTCAAGTGAATTTGGGTGATGAGTCAAGTGGTATTGAAGGTATGTCATGGCTTTCATTTCAAATTAAGCATAAAGAGGAAAAAAGAGTTGTCAAACGTAGCCTTGGTCTCATTTTGATGCACCAGTGGCGGTTCTCTAATCTTTACTTTGTGAATGTTACATTTAAAAGGCAACCTTGCTGGAAAAAACAAGTAGCAGTTGATTTGTTTTATTCTATGTTCATTTGTATTAAAAAATACAAAACAGATGTACTGATTAACTGTACACAGGAGAAAAAGGTTCAACTCAATCCTCCCTCAACTTTCCAGACATGATTACAAGGCTTTGCGTTGACCTCTCTCTGATTCAGCGTACTGATAACAGTTGGATATGTAAATTTGTGACTGAGTCAGCTTTCTCACAACAGCACTTTGCTACCTGTCGGACCAGGAGAACAGGAACGACCGCTTCACAGGGGGTGCGCTAACACAGAAACTACAACAGCGCTCTTTGGGGAGAGCTGGTCCACTTAAAAATTACACTTGACAATAAAGTTGACTTTGAGAGGGGGTTGGCCAAACATTTATGTGTTGATATCGTCAGGTAGTATGTACTACTGGGTAGTACTTTGAAAACGTTAGGATTGGCACAGGTTGCTTATAAGTTAAGAAGCAGAGGGTTGACTAACAGTGATCGTGATCAATGCACACAGTTTACCAGAAACATGTTCTGTAAGTGCGCATTGTGGGGCAGATTTTAGATTTCATTTTATAAAGCATTATATTGAATTGCTTTTCATTGGCAGGGAAAGACTCAATCAGCACTTTGACCCTTCATGCCGGCGTTCACCCAGCCACGGGTTTAATCTACGGAGACAACTTTACTGGAAAGGTTTTATAGCTTTAAAACGTGTAACGTGGAGCAGTTAAGAAGGGGTGCCTACGGAACAGAGTTTCAGATTTGAGTCTGTGTGGCACAACGTTAACACTTGCAGTATTACTCCGCTTCCACCACAATAGGGATGTATTTCTAAGAACAAAGCGCACTATTGTGAAGAACACACTGAGCCCCGGTCTTCACTGAACACTTCAGGACTGAGGTGTGAGACAGAGCAGTCGTATCAATTCAGGTTATTCTTGTGATCACTAAAGACATTAATCAACTCCGTCTGATACAATCAACTCTGATCCCAATGCAATACAATAGCTTTGTAGTTCACAATACCCTTCTGATTAATGATTTAAAATACAAAAGCAGTCCAAACTGTTGCAGTAACTTCTTAAACATGTCAGCAATGAGTTCCTGTTTATTTTCAGTAGAGCTGTCCCGATCCGATCACGTGATCGGGGATCGGAGCCGATCACGTGATTTTCAAAAGATCGGAATCGGGAGAAAAAAATCGGGGATCGGGATTTTATTATTATTTATTTTTTTAAATACTTTTTTTAAAATTTTGAATTCAATGTTACAAAACAAAAATGACCATGTT